CTATACATAGAAAACCCAAAAGAAGTGACTAGAAACTACAGCTCATCAATGAATCTGGTAAAGTTGCAGGATACAAAATTAATACACAGAAATCAGCTGCATTTCCATACACTAACAGCAAAATAGCAGGAAAAGAAATTAAGGAAACAATACCATTTACCATCACACCAAAAAGAATAAAATAACCTAGAAATAAACCTATCCAAGGAGGCAAAAGACTTGTACTCCAAAAACTGTAAGACACTGATGAAAGAAATTGAACACAATGTAAACAAATGGAAAGATATACCATGTTCTTGGATTGAAAGAATCAACATTGTTCAAATGGCTGTTACCCAAAGCAATATACAGATTCAATGCAATTATCATTATCAAATTACCAGTGACATTTTTTCACAGAGCTGAAACAAAAACGGTTCAAATTTGTATAGAAACACAAAAGACCCCAAGTAGCCAAAACAATCTTGAAAAATGGAGCTCGGGGAATCACGCTTCCTGAGTTCAGACTATACTGCAAAGCTACAGTATGGCACTGGCACAACAACAGACGCATAGATAGATGGAATGGGATAGAAAGTCCGGAAATAAACCCACACTCTTATGTTCAGTTAATCTACGACAAAGGAGGCAAGAATATACAGTAGAGCAAAGACAGCCTCTTCAATAAAATGATACTGGAGAAATTTGACAGTTACCTGTAAAAACTGAAACTGGAACATTCTCCAACACCACATACAAAAATAAACTCAAAATGGATTAAAGTCTTAAATGTAAGACCAGATACTACAAACAACTAGAGGAAAACATAGGCAGAACACACTCTGACATAAATCACAGCAATCTATTTTTTGAACCAGCTCCTGGAGTAATGGACATAAAAGCAAAAATAAATCAGATCTAATTAAACTTAAAAGGCTTTTGCACAGCTAAGAATACCATCAACAAGACAAAAAGACAACCTTCAGAATGCGAGAAAATGTTTGCAAATGAGCAACTGGCAAAGGACTAATTTCCAAAATACATAAACAGCTCATACACCTTAGTATCAAAAAAAAAAAAGGCAACCCAGTCAAAAAAAGGGCAGAAGACTTAAGTAGACATCTCCAAAGAAGTTATACAGATGGCCAACAAGCACATGAAAAGATGCTCAACATCACTAATTGTTAGAGAAATGCAAATCAAACCTACAATGAGATACCACCTCACACCAGTCAGAATAGCCATCATTAAAAAGTCTTCAAATGATAAATGCTGGAGAGGGTGTGGAGGAAAGGAACCCCTCCTACACTGTTGGTAATAATGTAAATTGGTGCAGCCACTATGGAGGTTCCTTAAAAAACTAAAAAATAGACTTACCATATGATCCAGCAATCCCACTGTTAGGCATATATCTGGAGAAAAATGTAATTCAAAAAGACACATGCACCCCCCTGTTTATATTCATAGCAGCACTACTTACAATAGCTAAGACATGGAAGCAACCTAAATGTTCATTGACAGATGACCAGATAAAGAAGTTGTGGTTCATATATACGATGGAGTACTACTCAACCATAAAAAAGAATAAAATAATGCCATTTGCAGCAACATGGGTGGACCTGGAGATCATCATTCTGAGTGAAGCAAGCCAGAAAGAAAAATGCCGTATCACTTGTATGTGGAATCTTAAAAAAAAAAATTAAAAGGACAAATGAACTTATCTACAAAATAGAACCAGATTCACAGACATAGAAAACAAACTAATGGTTACCAGTGGGTAAAAGGGGTGGGAAGGGATAAATCAGGAATTTGAAAATTGCTCCTCTTGGGGAGTGATAGAAGTGTTAGCCATCTTGATTGATGTAGGGGTTTTACTGCGGCATATACATCTATCAAAATTCATCAAACTGTACATTTGCAATATGTGTAGTTTACTGTACAGGAACTATACCACAAAAACAGAAGAAAATCATAAATATAAAAAAGAGTATCAAGCCAGGAATCTTATAAGGTTATAAAAACACATTGAGGAAACTTAAATGCTTACTAAGTGAAAGGAACCAATCTGAAAAGGCTGCATAGTGTATGATTCCAACCATATGACATTCGGGAAAAGGCAAAACTATGGAGACAGTGAATAGATCAGCGGTTGCCCGGGGCAGGAGGGGAAGAATGAACAGGCAGGGCTGAGAGGATTTTTAGAGCCATGAAACTATCCCCCATGATATTCTAATGGTGGATATGTCCTTATACACTTGTCAAAACCCGAAGACTGTACAACACCAAGGGGGAATCATAATGTGAACTACAGATTTTGGCTGATAATGATGTGTTGATGGAGGTTCATCCATTATAGTAAATGAACCACCTGGTTTGGGATGCTGATAGTGGGGAAGGCTGTGTGGGATAGGGGCAGGAGATATGGGGAAACGCTGACCTTTCCACTCAATTTTGCTGGCAACCTAAAACTGCCCTAAAAAATAAAGTCTATTTAAAAAAAGAAGAAGAAAAAAGAAAACTCACTTCTAAGAAAAATCTGGAAACAGTAACTAAAATTAAAATCTTACCAAAATAAGATACTACTTTAAGTTACAAATCCTACCTCATCTTACAGTTCAAAAAAAAAAAAAAGTCGAGGATATTCACCAACCCCATCAAAACTATTTTCTTTATTAAAAAATAAAAAGTAAAAATAAGTAAAAACAAAATTAAAACTCTCTCTAAGTTTCCAGACCCAAAAAGCGTTAATCATCAGTGTTTCCAGGAGGAAGAGCTCGGGTAAAAAGATAGAAGGCTGTAAATTGTCAAGAGTTTCTGTTCTGTGGAAGAAACCTTTCTCATGGTCAGAAAAGCTGATAGAGAACCAGGTTGTTCCTACTGCTGGGTGACAACCTGGGAATCCTTCTATTCCTCTGTGACGACGTGCATTTGTCAGTTTCAGCCTGACTTCTGGACAATGCCTGCCTGTCCTCTGTTTTCACAAACTCTGGCCAGATATGGTACAACCTGAAAAAACTGATTGAACAAAGGAATATTATTTAAAATGTAATCTCCTTTGCACTCTGGATGCAGGTTGTTTCCTAATATTTGGTAGATAGATCTGTCTGTGTGTGCGTGTGTCTCATACCCAGTTTGTGGCTATCGAGAGGTTTTAAATACTAAAGTGTCCTTCTGTCAAGGTTGAATTAGAAACTGTGCCTGTTTCAGTTATTTCCTGTCTTTAAATAAAATTGTATCAGCTTCCCAGACTTCCTGGCACCATGTCCTTGCCTTAGGAAGGCTTCTCGGCAGCAGTTGTAACACCCTCAACCCTGAATGTGTGTGTGTGTGTTTGAGTAAGTGTGTGTGTTTGAAAGCATTCATTTTTCTTTATAAGAGAGCAAGCCTTCAAACACCTTTCCGTCTTCGACACGTCTTCAATACAAACCAGGTACTACATATAGCTTTGGTTTTGTTAGATCATTTCTCTTTAAAGCAAGGCACTTAATTGATTATTTCAGGGGTGACTGTCAGGATCAAAGTTTGACTTTTCCGACGAACCAGGATGGACAGAGAATCACTGGCCTTCACGGCTTCAATCACATCGGTGGTGGTGGTGACAGGTTGCCCGTTTATGCTGACAATTACATCGTGGTCTCTCAACCCAGAGCTGGAAGAGGGGGTGAAAAGGACCATCAAACTATGAGTTCTACTTATCTTACAGCGCTGCTGTTTTGCTAGCATTAAACATGCCGATCAGGAAACCAGAAATCGCCTCCATCCTTCCAAATATGAGAGCTGTTCTAAGATACGCTGCAAAATCACCTGAAGGGCAACATCCTATTTACCTTTCTAAAATTAATATTATACCAGAATCGTGTGTAAGAGGTTTACTCCTCCCATCTGTTGGATTTGGTTTGGAATAGAGAGTTTAGCTTTTCGTTTCTATTAATCCCCGACTGCTGTTAAACTCAGGTGCACTCTCAGTCTTACCAGCAAACCTGAAAAGCCCAAGCAGTGTATTTTCCCCAGAGTTACACTCTGCTCAGTTTGATGCAGACGGCGCACTCGCTAGCCCTGTCTTCACCCACACTTTATGGAACTGGAGAGAATACTTAGGTGTGCCGTAGAAGCTGCTTCTGGTAAGTCAAAAACCAGTCTCCAAAGTCTAAATATTTAAGACACTGGTTTTAGGCTCCTTTGCCTCCAAGTTGTGATTGTATTCAGTCTCCAGCATATTTGCTTCACGTGCAATATATACCTTAGAAACAAAAACCAGCTCCAAAAACAAAACACTGCAATAAATATATAGCCTTGCTGATGATTTGTCTTAAAGCCAAAAACAGGCTGAAGCGGGGAGGGGTTAGCTCAGTGGTACAAGGCATACTTAGCATGCCCGAAGTCCTGGCTTCAGTCCCCAGGACCCCAGTGTAAATCAATCAATCATTCAAATTACCTCCTCCCTGCCCAAAAAAAATAGGCTGAAAGTCAAATTAAATGATTCCAGGAAACACCATTTAAGAGAAGTGGGAAACCCGGGAAGAGTGATTAATGTGGGAAGATTACCAAGATAATGTGTGGCTTATTTAAAAAAGAAGAAAAAGAAAAATGTAAAGCAAGAGGATGTGGAGAAGTTTGAGGGCAGAGCTAAAAATAGGAAAAGCCTTTAGAACAAGGACAGTTCAGGAGGATGACAGGCACAGAGTACCAAGAAAGAACTTAATGCGTAGTAGTTCCGTGAAGAGAAAAACCTGCAGATTGTTAGGGCAACTATGCACCAAGTATGAAGAGGTGAAGCTCAGGCAGGATTGAAAAAAAAAACAAAAACCTCACCAGGACCCCCACGTCGTAAGAGGCTAAAGCAGAATTTGATCCTGGGTCTTTCAGACTTGAAAACTCATCTTCGATGCCAGTCACTCGGCCTCTCAGAAGCAAGAAGGGCAGCCACGGCAACGGGCTAATTACTACAGAAGCGAGGCTGGTTCCGAATGCCCGCCCTCTGACTTCCTGTGTAACACTCAAGGTAATTAACCTCTCCGGAGCATAGCTGCTTCCTCCATAAATTAACACCTGTACCCGCCCCAAACTCCTGGAGGGGCTCACACAAGTGTGCAAAACACTTAAAGTGGTGCCTGACATAGTAAGTGGTTGACAAACGCCAGCTCTTATTACTGTAATTATTACCATTATTATTAGAGAGACGTCAGAACCATTTCCGGCTTATCAGCGACTTCAAGCAAGCAGTACCTCCCACATTTTCATGGGCATTCAGATTGCCCCGAAGATCTTATTTAAAAAGCAGATTTCTGATTCAGTGGCGCATCTGTAATTCTGCGTTTCTAAACAGCTCCAGCTGATTCTACTGCTGCTGGTCTATGGACCACGTTTTGAGGAGCAAGGAGTTGGAGAGCTGAAAGAAATAGCTCTGGCCTTGAACCAGAAGTTAAAAATAAGTGCATGTATGTGTGTTGCCCTGGGGGTGGGGGTGGGGGTGGCGGGGAACCAAGAAAGTCTAGGAAAGCCTGTGACCAGCCAAATTTAGTAACAGGTGTCCTAACACTTAGCTACTCTGCACCCTTGGTGTCCTGTGGTTTCTTCCCCCTGCTAAAAGGGTGGCCATAATCTAAGCAGATTAGTGGGCTCTTAAAAACAAAAACGGTGAGAGAGAGAGAGAGAGATCGAAGATGTACAAGAGAGGCCCAGGAGAATAACTGCAGGACAGGCCACCTCTTCCCTCAGTAGTTACGATAAATGTCTCAGAATGTCTCTAGCTTCACTTTATTTACTTTTATTTACTTGTTTGTCTGTTTATTGTTGGCCTCTGATACTGTCATCCCGAATTCAAAGCCAAAAGTGTTTTAAAGTCCCTAAAATATATTCTTAAGCTTCTAACCCGCTGGATTCTTCTGATTCTTAATAACTAAGGTAGCAAAAAAATAGATTTGGGAATTCCTAGCAAAATTAATATAAACTTCTATTGTAACCTCATAGTGTGAATTCTCGGGCTGCAGAGAACCATCCCCTTCCAAAAAACAAACCTTACAAGCACATGTCTAAATCAGCACTGTCCAAGAGAAATGTCAGGCAAACCACATATAATTTTACATTTTCTGATAGGCATGTTTAAAAAAATTTTTTTTAATTTTTAGGGAGGAGGAGGGTGTAGCTCAAGTGGTAGAGCCCATGCTTAGCACTGGGTTCAATCCCCAGTACGTCCTCTAAAAATAAATAAGTAAATAAACCTACTTACCTCCCCCCAAAAATTACAGTTTTTAAAGATTTTAAAAAGTTTTAAACAGATGAAATTAATGTTAATAATATATCTTATTTAACTACATATAAAGTATCATTTTAACATGTAATCATAATCCTTAACAGAGTTTATACTCTGTTGTAAGTCTTTGAAGTCCCCCAGAAATAGCACACACCCATCTGCTGCTCTACAATGGTAACATCTGACACAATGCAGTTATTAAAGTGAAATGCAGTCTTCCCCAAGCAAAAAAAAAAAGTGGGAAAATATTTTGCATTGCTTCTGGGTTTGTTTTTTTAATTTAAATAAACTCAAATAAAATTTAAAATGCAGTTCCTCAGTCACACATGCCACACCTCAAGGGTTCCACAGCCATGGAGGAGGTGGGGGGACACTGCAAATCCAGATGCGACACACGTTTAGCATGGGACACTGCTGGTGAGGACAGAGGAGGTCGGGCAAAGGCCTGAGGCCCTCTTACCTTTCAGCCGCGGTTCCTTGAATCACCTCATACACAAAAACCCCAGAGCTCACATCAGGGAAATCGGGATCGTGCCTTTTCATGTCCTGAAGCAGGCTAAGGAGAGTGAGCAGAGGCTTCCCATGAGGTCAGGCACCGTCAAGTGCACACTCGAGGCTCACACCCAGGGGATGAGGCTTCCTTCCCTCCAGCTGCTCACAATCTTTCTTCCCGGACCGATTCGCTAAAGCCAAGACCCGCTGGGCATGATAAAGCACAGACAGCCACAGTGAAAGAAAGCCCTGGAAAGTCCAGTGAATGCGGATGCAGGCAGAGGCAGACACCCACCCTGGACTCCTACGGTCACGAGAGGAGCCAGCAGTAGCCAAAGGCTGTAACTTCCCCGCCAAGACTCTACCTACAGCTTTGGCTTCAGAAAAACACCCCAGATGTTTGCAAACCAGTGCTTACTTCATGGTAAGGGGCAGCATTCGCAGACCCAGATACTTCTTCTGTGAAAGAGCCTTTCCTGGAAAGAAAAGTTATAATGAGTCCCTAACGACAAGACTTCTTTCCTTTTGGCAGAGTTTAAAAGACACCTAAGTCACAGAATATCCTTACTAGGACAGCTGCCCTTTCGAGACAAACGTGCCTCGGAGACCCTTTGCCTTCCTCCCACCTACCTCCCACCTCCAGCCCATCGCTTCCCCTTCCACAATAGTTCAACTCAAATATTTCCGGGTTTGGGGCTTGGTCCCCCTGTATTGCTGCCTGGACCACTGTGACAAGAGCTGAGTAACAGTGACTCCGTTTTCTACAGACCTCAAAGGAGTGTCCCCACCACAGTAGAGCATCCATCCTTGGAGGGCTCCTAGGAAGCACAGGAGGGGAAGAAAAAGTCCTAACTCCCCTTACCTTTCAGCTGGCGCTCGTGGAATTCCTCCAAGAACTGTCGGATGCGATCGGAGGGAATCGCAAAGGAGATGCCCGCTGTCACCTTCAGGGTGTTTATGCCGATCACCTCACCATCCTGACAAGGCAGGTGACGTCACTCAGCTGCCCAGCTGGGCAGATGAAACAAGCAGAGGCCGGCAAACTGCATCACTTAGGATGGAGCAACGGCTGTCCTCTTAGGGGACGGACAGTGTGACAGGTCATCAGAGGGGACACACACGTGTGCAAATTCCTGCTGAGGAATCTGCTGCTTATTCTCGAGCTCCCCTTTCTTTTTTCCCTTGGCCAAATTACACTGATATTCAAAGTGAACCAGACTTCGTATTTTGACACAGATATGAGGACAAGGAGTACTTGCCTTTTTGTTCCTTAAATGAAACTAAAAATAAACAGGGAAAAGGCAAAAAGCTGTGGACTTTCAGCAACACTTCAGTGAAACTATTCAGAAGATTGTGCAAATTGAACTTAGGAATGGAGCTGTAAAAGCTAAAGCTACGAAGTGGTGAATACTTTCCTTTTTGTGCGTTTCACCATCCTTTAGCTTGGTAACGGAAAGGACAGAAAAGAGACTAGGAATCACATTATAACACAGATTATCATTTGATAGGTCTGGAGTGTGGCTGAAATTCTGCAGTTCATCCCCGCTCTTGTAAATTCATTATCTACTGGAGACGGCGGACACAAATATCACATGCAATGTTAGGAGTAAAAAGCGCTCGATAATTCACACACAATTCATCCTCCGACAAGCAAGAGTAATATGTAAAGAGGCACCAAAAGCAATCAGCTCACAGAGACTCAGAAAGTGTGATCACAGACTGTGGGTCAAACAGCACTGCCCCCTCACGTGTATTCCAGCAACCAGAAACCTTGGCAGTTTCACTAAGGATGCTGAAGAAAATTTAAGAATTAAATGCACTACAGAGCAAGGGATTCTTGTGACTTTTCTGTCATCTCTAAGCAGGTCAACACGAAATTCGCATTTGGGGATGAGGGTTAGTTCCTCATACGCAGCAACAAGGGGTCTTGAAGGAGACACCTTACATACTACACGTGTCATTTGACATAAATTTGGACTTTTGTTAAGTAGCCAATGTAAACAAAGCATGTTGAAGCGGTAAGCAGACTGTAAAGACACCCAGGTGCCCTCAGTTGGATGAGCTCACATGCCAGGATGACAGATCCTTCGTAGATCTTAAATTTTTCCTAACCCTGTACTTAAGATGCAATCATAGAAAACATTGTTCCACAAATCTCTATGCAAGAGCGACATCCTAGTCTGCATCAGGGAATCTGTCGAGTCTTTGAAAGTTAGGAAGAGGCATGAAGCAGCAAGGAAAGGGGCCACTTACCAAGTTCACCAGGGGCCCCCCCGAATTCCCGTGCTGAAGACAGAATTTGAAAAAGTTGTCAGTCCTTTTTTATAGTTCCTAAAGAGGTTTACCAAAAGCAGCCTGCCCTAGCGAGCCCCTAGTCCCCCAGGGCAGGGAAAGCTGTGCCCCCTCATAAATGCTGAAGCTGGTGCAGGTGAAGGACAACAGCAGGAGGACCACCACCTCCTACAGCAGTGGCGACCTCAGTGACAGACCGTGAGAGGCCACCCAGTATCATGGATGCCCAGTATCACATCAAACCGGCTGAGCTCTAACAGCGTGCCACCCCGTCCCTCTTGTGGGGATAAAACTGAACTCTGGACATGCCCGAAAGGCCAAAGGGAAAAGGAGGCACCCTGAAGTGTTCCTCTCACTGCTCTGCCAGTGTCTTAGGGGCTGAGGATGGTCCTCCCCTGTGACTTACATTAATTATGGCGTCCGTCTGGATATAGTCCATGTCGGAATCCCTCAGCCCCAGCTCTTTGCCCCCTCGCTGGGTAGTGCTGACAATTCCCACAGTCACTGTGTTCTGCAGAGAAAACGGGCTGCCCAAGGCCACCACAAACTCGCCAGCTCGCAGGTCAGATGACCTTCCCAGCAGCAATACAGGAAGGTCCGTCTGCACATGCACAAGGAGGGACGGGGACAACAGAGAGGTGAAGAACAAATCAAGAATGGAATCAACCGGTGTTTGTGTACCACACACATGCGACACAGTCTCCAACCTTTTGAAACTTATAACCCAAGAATCACCACCCCCCAACGTAGGTTCTACAACTGACCGAGTCCTCTTCCTTAAATTCCAACCACCTCTAAACTCTCCCTTGTTAAGATGCAGGAGACCATCTCTAAAATCTAAAATCATCGCCTGCAGAAATCACTGTAAGTAAACTGCCCACAAAGTGACTGATGAACATAAACTGACATCTGCAACTTACTTAGCACCATTCCAGCTCAAAAATTTACAAAGTTAACAAGCCACAGGCAGAAATGTCACCCAAAGCAGCACATCTCTTTAATGCAAACACGAATCACCTGGGGACCTTACTAAAGACCCTGATTCAGTAGACCTGTGTGGGATCTGAGATTCTGCATTTCTGAAAAATTCTCAGATGATGTCAGTGCTGCCGGAAGTGGGGAGTAGGAGGGTAGGCCACTTTGTATAGCAAGAAACTCAAAGCATTCCTTAGCAGTTTTGAATCCATTTCAAGCATTCCCGCTGTTCTAAGACAAGCAGAGAAGTAAGTTTCCCAGCAGCAGTATCTGTGGAAGAATAAAGCAAAGGAGAAAAAAAGACCGCTGGGTAGTTAATAGAAATCGTTACGGATATACAGACAGACAGGATAGAAGAAAATAAACAAGAAGATATGAACAAAAAGAAAGGAAACTAGAAAAAAAAAAGGCATATACCAGGGAGAAAAGATGTGCGGTGGTGGTGGGGAGTAAAATATGAGCAAACTGATGAAAACCCTCAAATATGTGGACTTTTGATTTGGCCCTCGCAGACTCACGTCTGGCTCAATCTTAATGAGAGCGAGATCCAATTTATGGTCAATGTCCTTGACGGTGGCTTCATACTGGACCCCGCTCTGGAGCTCCACCTGGATCCGCTGCCGGTTGGTGAGGACGTGGGCATTGGTAACAATGAGCCCATCCTCAGACACTATGAACCCAGAGCCACTGGATGCAGGAATATCCTCGCCAGTGAGAGGTGACCTGTCTCGGCAAGACAGCAGCATAAGCAGAGGGTGGGAAAATCCGGGCTTCCACCGTGGTCCGGAAGCATGGGAACCTCACATTTATTAAACATACTGCCGCCACAGTTTTCTCAGACATTTCCCTTTTCCCCGTCTGTTTTCATTCCCCCCATGTGTAACTGGACTCTGCCTGTTCCAGACTCTGGCCATCTCTTGTGAACACGACTGAGAGCTGATTCCAACTCTCCTGTTCCAAGGATGCTCCCTTCGTGAGAGCTGGTCAAAGCATCAGCCCTCTGCTTCAAAGAGGATTGACCTAATCATAATACTGGGGGCAAAAGTGGGGCGAGTGCCACATTATCCAGCACCCAGGCAGGGAGGGAGTCAAGGAAGTCAAGGAAGTCTGTTTCCAGCTTAGGTTCCGCTACTAACTGGCTTTGTGACATAGGACAAATTACTCCTGCTATCTGGGTCTGGGATTCCTTCCTTGCAAAGGAGAGAGCCAGGCAAAATCACCATCAAGATGCCTTCCAGCTCTTAAATCTGTGGGAGATGAGAGAGAGGGGTAGCCAAGACTGGGAGGTCAGAATCCCTGTGCCTCCGCTCTTTGGCTAAACAAGCCAGTTTATTCAACCTCTTTGAGTCTCTTGGTTTCCTCTCCGCGGTTTTTACGACTACATGACGCTTGGAGAGCACGGAGGCTCAGGGAAACAATTAACCCTCGGGAATTGAGGTCCTCCTCCAATCTCCTTTACCTGCGGAACAGCTGCAAGTGCACCACAGACGGCGCCACCTTCTCCACCACCACCGCGACGAAGTTGTACTTGCTCCTGAGCCAGCCTGCGCTTCTGGTTCCTGTGAAGAGATGCTCCATTCTTGGGGAGGGGGACCCTCGCTGCCTGACCGCATCCGGGCGTCATCTCTCAAATCTCTCGGCCCCTCTCCTCCCTCTCCATCACCTTCCCTTCCCTTCCTCTCTTGGGTCTCCCCCTGTGTATTCACTGCGGTCCCATGAGGATACGCCTTGAAGGAACTAGTCTTCCCATCCTGGTTGGAAAAAAAATATTTTAAAGGGAAGACTGCAAATAGCTTTGGGGAGGAAATTGGGAACCGGTAACGAGACACCTAAGAGGGAAGAAAATCGGGAGCAAGGAGGCGCTGAGTCCCTTGGCGATGGAGCGGGGGAAAGTCCGCGGCGAAGGCGGCTGGTGAA